AGTTGAACTAATACCTTTTTGTAATGAGAACCCCCCCCCCCCCCATTAGAGCCATACAAAGTGGAAAACTACATTTCTGACCAAAAATAGAAGACTACAGATATTGTCATGAAATGACAAACCTGAAGAACTGAAGCCCATATGATACATTACACAAGTAATAAACCGAGTTGGACGTTCGTTTAGCGGCTGTATTTATTTATTTAATAAATAGTGAAATCGCAACGATATTGTGACTATATAAGTAACGTTAAAGTTACGATTGAATATTTATGAAAAACATCAAGGCTATCGAGGGTATCGCCGATCTCAGATCTGTACTAGCTGAGCAGGTTGCCTTGATTGGTTGATACAAACACATCGATTATCCTGTTGTCTAGGCTAGTGGATGGCGTAGACGGTGCAGATTGTGCTTGTTGTATTTATTTAATAAATTGAGAAATTGCAACGATATGGGTGTAGACAGTATAGTAACTAATATAAGTCACTATAATAAAAATCTCGCCATGTTCACATAACAAATGTTAAAGTTACGATCAAATATTTACGAAAAATATAGAGGTTATAGCGGATCACAGATCTGTGCTAGTTGTAGTGGGCTAACGTGAATAGTAGTACCAGTAGGTACTTATTGGTTCATTGATGAATATAATAACGCACAACCCTTAGTGGGGAGCATTTAGTAAACAACAAAATCCAATTTACGAAATAAACAAGTTGTTGCATATTGTACGTATTATGTAGGATATAGTAGTTTACTATAATATAGTTTTACTCATAAGTTATAATAAAGTAATTAGCAATATGCAATTAACCCATAAGTTCTGTTAGGGTTAGGGTTGGCTTTGGTAGGTTTAAAGTGTGTTTAACGAAAGCAAGGCTTATGGTTGCCTGTTGTTAAATAAATAAACACTACCATATTAGATTAGAATTGTATCTTTTATTGGTACGATGTAACTTGTTAGATATGCATTATATTATGAAAGCTGAGTAGGAACTAAAGAGAGAATAAAAGTAACAATGCAGTGTGCATATTTACATTAGTGTTCTCTCAGTGGTTACATTAGTGTTCTCTCAGTGGTTACATTAGTGTTCTCTCAGTGGTTACATTAGTGTTCTCTCAGTGGTTAAAATAGGGTTCTATATACTGTACGACATAGATTAAGGTGAATAAACTAACTTACCGTACTTCCCCCGAGTATAAGCCCCTCCCCGAGTATAAGCCCACCCCTCTGTTTTTGGACATTTAACGAGTTGAGGGCATCCCCGATTATAGACCCAGGGTGTTTTTACCAGACATTTATTAAAATATGCATGTAAAAAGTGTATTTTATTGCATAAAAACCATGATTGGTACGGTAGTTT